TATTATAACTAACTAATAGCTTAAATACGGAAGGTAACGATATTTTCACATGTGAAAATATCAGTTTTTCGAAAAGGAGAAATATAGGTATTTAATGGATAATTATATGATAAATAAGAGTATTTACTTAGACCGTGAAATACCCGAATAATAGAGGTTAGTTGAACTTAACCTATTTAAAACACTCAAAGCAAAACAAAAGTAAAGTACGAAATAGCGCAATGCGCGTGTTTCCAAATAAAATACGGCATATTCTAAATCCCCATACATACTCTTATAAATGTAGTGAGCTTGGGTTGCCTGTGCATGATGAGAATAAAATCTTTTGTTTCACCCACATAAATCTATTCTCAAGCACTTGAATGCGAGGCTACGCACGTAAAATCTATTGTTCTAGTCATCATGGCTGCCACGTGAGTAAGGCCCACGTACATTGTTTGTTTTCTTTTTTTTCATCAATCCTCGTTAGTACCAACTACTATAAACTATTCGCATTCAAATCTGTTTCATTAATTAAGTTCGAGTACTCTATTATCAGACATGATCTTTTATTACAAAACTTGGTGTACGTTCCTATCAAGCGCAATGTGAAGTTAACTGAATCCAGAAATAGTGGCTCTCAGTGGAGTTCTGCATGTTTGTGTTTTTATGATTTTTCATCCTGAAAAAAGAACCAAGTAAAAATAATTGTTAATGTAGAAAGGTGATAATTGTAGTATTGTTTAAACCAATCTTCTTATTGGTCGAAACACGAAAAATGGAGAAGTATATTTTTTGTGATATTTAACTACTAATATTTAACTCCCTTTTAGTGATAAATCTTCTGTGCTTCAATACGACAGAAATTCTATGTGGGGAAAATGACAAATTTGAGGCTTTTTCTTTCTATTGTTTTTGGGTGTTGTGATTGGTTGAAAACCTCAAACTCAAAAGTAAACGTCTTAAGAAGCTGCGACTTTTAGTTCATATTTTTTCACAAACATCTCTCCATAGGTTGATACATCCCCAGTAGAAAATCTCAAAATTCTGATGTGGGGCAAGCGATATGCCGCAGAACAATAGAAAGCGCTATCGTTCTTATTAGGAGCATTACTTAATAGACCAAATTAGCTTAAAGGGCGTAAAGTTTTTCCCATTTCAGACCATCTTGAAAGATTCTTTATTGTAGTGTTCGTATTCATGTTTCTTTTCATATGCAAGTTAAACAAAGACATGATACTGTAGGAAATAACACGTGGTTTGAAATGTGAAAACATTACGTACAAGCTAATTTGGTCTATGACGTCATTACATCATATCAAATGACGTCACGTCACATCACAGCATAACACAAACAGAAAAAAGTCAAGAATCACTAAACTATTTACATCATTTATGCAGTCATCCTCTTGAATTATGCCTTCTGTGTCAGAGAAAGGACTAGCGGTTGTGGAGCGGTCTTCATACAATTCATAGTTCTTTTCTGGTCGTCGCAAGCACTAAAATAATCAAGAAGCAAAATGCTACACATCATGCATGTTGCTTAGCTAAAAATCAGAGTTTTAGTGACGAATTCTTTGCAAAAGTCATCACTTAATGCTGAAAATTGTGTTGTTGCCATAAAATGATGAAATCACAATTTTACAATAACTTAGAAATTTCTCGCGCGCTGATTGGTTATTTTTTATCATCAATAAGAGGACAGACAGATAAAGCTGACGTCAACAAGCGCGCGCTCTTTCCGTTGGTTGTTTTGATCGCTAAAAAAGTTTTTATCGTTTTTGTTATTGTAAAAAAAAAAATAGACATCAGTTTTTTATGTATCTGTCCTCTTATTGACGATAAATTTCGTCATCACATTGTCAAAGTAGT